TGGCCATAAAATGTATTCTTTATGAGTTACTCAAATATCGAAAATTTGGTTTTTGTTTTTTCTTAGAGATGAGTATATTTAAATGATGATACAAAAGTGACTTGGGGGGGCTTAATTTAAGACGTCCTTTAAATTTTTTCTTCCTTCTGAAGTATGAATTGGATGTTCCTTTTAAAGTCAAGGCTGGCCAAATTGGTAAGTACTTCAGTTTTCATTTGAATTATTCTTAGGCCTTTTAGTTTTTTATTTTGCTTGTGTTATTTAATCTAAAATCTTTTTTAGCTTGACCAAAAGTGTGAGAGATTTTTGAATCACATTAATTAGAGCTTATAGAGTTCTGAGCCTAATGTATATTGTATATAATACATGCATACTTCAATTTTTTTTGAGGAAAGGGTAGAAAATTACTCTCTAAAATGGAAGGACATTTAAACTGCAATTATGTTCTTTAGGCTTTGGTTCCACCACATAAAAAATATCTTCATTTTCAAAATTGATATCCAAATTTTGTGCTTTTTCTTTATGTGTGAAAGTAGTATGATTTGCAAACTCTAGTAAATAAATTTTAAATGTAGCTTATTTCCATGATGTTTTTGTTCAACTGTTTTCACTTGATATATTATGCAGCAGTGTGGTAGAGGATATGTTTGGTAAGTACAAAGTCTCTTTCTTTGCAGCTAAATGCTTACACTAAGACCATCTATAAGTAAGCATATATCTTTGTTGAAGAAATTTTTCAATAGGAAATTTAATTTGCAAAGTCTTCCCAACTAGACTATATTACTTGATTTTACTTTTTTTAAAAAAGTATAAATTAAAACCTTACATGGCTTACTTTTATTTTAGAATTTTCACCTATGCCGCATCCTCCCATCTCCATCACCCTGCGATTATAGCATCTCACTTTTCATCTTCAGTCAGTATTCTGTGTTCTAGGAAGGCTTGTCTTTCATTACTCTAGCATCTCTTAGCAATATCTTGACTACTTCTGTTTGGGTTCATTTTATATCACATATATGTGTCCTTTTAATATGAAAGAACATTTTCATGTTTTTGTCTCTTGAAATAGGAGATACTCCCTTAGATTGAAAACATCTCTAGGGCATGCACCATCACTTTTATTAATATTTGTCTGTTAAATAATGCTGCGTGTGGTGGTGATGTTTAGCAGTGCCCTAGAAGTATAGTAGTGGCCCTACATGCTTGATTGGAATCCTAGAATGTAGAAGTTGTAGTCGTTCATTTATTCTTTCACCTCTGAAATATTTATGTACATATGCTATGTACAAGACTATGCAAGTAGCTGTGGGAGAGGCAAAGGTTGAATATGGCATCTTTGTCTTAAGAAGTTACAGAGATCTAAAATTAGGACATAGATTGAAGTTGCATTTCCAGCATTTTCAGTGAGTTATAGTTGACTAAAATTTTGCATCGTTTATTATATTCTTACAAATAGATTTTTGTTTTGGAGGAGGTTTTCTAATGATTCAGAATTTGTTCTTTTTGCTTTTAATGTATCATAAGGATGTATAACTTCCTTTAGGGTTACTCATTGAGTTACAAGAGACCTTTTACATATAAGGATGCAAAGCATATTTTTTAATATTT